TGGGAGGGAGAGGAAAAATACACATTTGGTGATCATCTGCTATTCTGGAAGTTTAGTAAATGTGATCTCATTTAATCATCTGGAACCTGGGGGAGGGAATTTGACATCTGAACCTCAACTTCATTTGAAAATGGAGACAGAATTATTGGAAGAGAACATTTGTTAGAGTGGCAAACTCTATTCCAGAGCTTTGTTTGCTGAAGTATAAAAATAAGGCATTTTTTTTAAAGATTTTATTTATTTATTTGACAGAGAGAGACACAGCGAAAGAGGGAACACAAGCAAGGGGATTGGGAGAGGGAGAAGCAGTCTTCCCGCAGAGCAGGGAGCCCGATGCAGGGCTCGATCCCAGGACCCTGGGATCATGACCTGAGCCGAAGGCAGACGCTTAACGACTTAACAGCCACTCAGGTGCCCTAAAATGAGGCATTTTTTATACTTCAGACTAAACCATCTCCAAGCCAAAGAGAGCTGGCATTTAGTGAGTCTACTGTGTGTTAGGCACTTTACAAAATCCTACTTAATCCCAATTCCACACTTTGAGTTTATGTGTCATGTTGTCCAAATGATGGCATTGAGTCAAAGAGAGGTTTCAGAACTTCACCGAGGCCAGTCAGCTAGAGAATGACTGCAGGAAGATTCAAATCCAGGACTGCTGAGGTCAAAAGCCCCTGGCAATCCATTAGCTCATATTGAGGTTCAGAAGGTGTATTTGTCCTTTTGGGCATTCCTGGGTTTGCTGGTGGTGTGTTATTCAAATTCCTGAATGTGTGCTTTGCTCATAACTGTGCAGTTTGAAAACAGTGACTCATCCCCAAACAGAGCAGGGTTGAATACAGTCCTGTTTATCTTAGACTGTCCTGTGGTACCTGTGTTGACTTCAAAGATAATTTGTAATAAGAACATTGTGATAAAAACAACACACACCCAAAAAAAATGTATAGGTTTGTTTTTTGGTGCTTCTGACGACAGAATAAACTTGAGTCTCATTCACTTAAAAAAAATCAGAGCTACTTTAGGTTTAATGACTAAAATCAATTTTTCAACATATTTTGTACAGTCCTCTGGACATACTCTTTTTACACTTAACTATGATGTCATTAGTTTCTGTTTGATTCTGTCAGGGCAGAGGCCTTGAAATAGTCACATCTGGATTCCCCCATGGTTTGACCCAACTGTGAGAGCCAGTCACTATTGGCTGAGAGAATTAAAGGCATTTCCAGTGTATTAGCTTTTTTTTTTGGCCACTGTAAGAAGTTACCACAGATTTAGTGGCTTAAAACAACATCCGTTTATATCTTACGCTTTCTGTGGGCCAGAAGTCCATATATAGTATGGTTCAGTTGGCTCTCTGATAAGGCTAAAATCAAGGTGTTGGCAGGATTGTATTCCTTTCTGCAGACTTGGCGGGAAGGGGGGGAATACCTTGCTTGCAAGCTCATTCAGGTTGTGAGAATTCTGTTCCATGAAGTTCTAGAACTGAGGTCGTATTACTTGCTGGCAGGGCTTGTTCTCAACTTCTAGAGGCTGCCTACATTCCCTGGCTCCTGGCCCCTTTCAAAGCCAGCAACACTGGGTTGAGTTCCTCTCAAACTTCAAATCCGATTCTTCTGAATCTCTCCAGAGCATCTCTTCTGTGTTCTTCTGCTTTTAAGGATCCATGTGATTATACAGGGCTCACCTAAATAATCCAGGATAATCTTGCTGTTTTATAGTCCTTAATTCTATCTTCAAAGTCAATTTCCCAATGGAATGTAACCTAGTCATAGGTTCCAGGGACTAGGGCATAGATGGTTTGGGGGGTGTGTGTTGGAGAGGACGTTATTCTGTTCTCAAGGCCTGTATTAAACATGTAAGTTTTAGAGTGAATCTTTTCTAGTTACTCCTCGGGGGTCAGAGGAGGGTGAAGCTACTCAAGAAGAAAACAGTGGAAACAAGTCAAATGACTTGTCAAAGGTTACTGTGTCAGCTGTAGATTAAAAAAACTTTTGTTAAAAAAATGAGGTAAAAAAATTTCGTGGTGGTGGTGGTGGTAGGGGGTTGTTCTTCCTCTCCTCCTTCTTAGGGTGAAGTAAGGGGAGAAAGATTTTATTTAAACTTCTACAGTCTGTTCACTTTGCAATATTTTGTTTATTGGGTGTGAACATCTGTGTGATGAGCATTGAAGCAGGAGCACTGGATTTCCTGGTGTTAGGATTAGGCAGCACAGTATGGGTCTTCTCTAAGCACTGGCTCTTCCATGTGCTAACATCAGGGAGAAGGTTCTTTCCTCACCCAGGGAAACCTTTTTTTTTTTTTTTAAAGATTTTATTTATTTATTTGACAGAGAGAGACACAGCAAGAGAGGGAACACAAGCAGGGGGAGTGGGAGAGGGAGAAGCAGGCCTCCCGCAGAGCGGGGAGCCCGACGTGGGGCTCGATCCCGGGACCCTGGGACCATGACCTGAGCCAAAGGCAGACGCCTAACGACTGAGCCACCCAGGTGCCCCCAGGGAAACCTTTCAAATGTGGCCTTTGACTCTGCCTCCTTAATTTTTTTTTTAAAGATTTTATTTATTTGACAGAGTGACAGCAAGAGAGGGAATTCAAGCAGGGGGAGTGGGAGAGGGAGAAGCAGAGAGCCCGATGCGGGGCTTGATCCCAGGACCCCGGGATCATGGCCTGAGCCGAAGGCAGACCCTTAATGACTGAGCCACCCAGGCGCCCCTGCTTCCCTAATTTTTAAGAGCTCCTCATTAATCCAGCTTAAAACTGATTTTAGGAATGTTTCTGGACAAATAAGTACAGAAAACCTATGTGTTTCGTATTCTGAACCTCATTTCATTTTTTTTAAAAGATTTTATTTATTTATTCATGAGAGACAGACAGAGAGAGAGAGAGAGAGAAGCAAAGGGAGAAGCAGGCTCCCAAGGAGCAGGGAGCCCGATGTGGGACTCGATCCCAGGACTCCAGGATCATGACCTGAGCCGAAGGCAGACGCTCAACCATCTGAGCCACCCAGGCGGCCCCATTTCATTTCATACTCTGCAAGCAAGGCTCAGAGAGCTAAGTCCATTGTCCATTGTCTCTGAGCTTATACTAATTATTAAACACTTGTTCTATACCAGGAGCCAAATTATATGGATCTAATGTCAGGGTCCCCCTTCACACCCTCTTCCAATTTGCCAAGTGTTTTATGTTAACTTTAATCCCAGTAGTGCTGTGAGGTATTAGACTAATGTAGATTAAAAAACTGAGGCTCAGAGAAATTGACCCCTACTTTTAGGTACCCAGGGAGTCACTTAGCCAGGTTTCCAGTGTAGGTCCACTTGATTCCAGGTCCTGTGTTCTCTTCAGGGTACCACCTTTAAAAAGGCCTCAAGTGCATTCTGGTCAGTATGGTCCCAAAGTCCAAGTTCTTTACCCCTCATTATCACGAAAGTCGCCAAATGGTAAGAATGCTCAAGGCTACAGGTGCAGCTTCTGCAAACCTATAGCGATATTAGTGTCATGAAAGCACAGGAGGAAATGGGGAACTGTTTACGTCCATCAAACGTGGAATAACCGTTTTACTGGTATGAGTGTCTCATTGTCTCATTATTATGCGGCAGTGAGTCATTTAGGGCAGGACCAAAAGGGAAAGTCCTGTCCCTTGTCATCTTTGTGAAGTGTCGGTGAGAAGGGTTTAGGCGGGGAGAGGCACAAAGTGGTTTAAGTAGACACTGGGAGTCGAGCTACCACCAGTTCTCCATCTCCACCCTTAACAGCCCAGCTGCTGGGATGCCAGAAGCGCCGAAAGGGTTAAACGTGGCTGTAGAGCCCAGCCACCGCCCCTTCCCAGCATCGCCTCCCAGAATGCCTCAGGCTCCCAGCCAGTTCCCGCACCTCGCGATACTCCGCCCAATCTCTTCCCCGAACGACTGCCCGGCCCCCTTCTTTACAGAGCTCTGCGCGAGGCGGAGGAAAGTAGGGGAGGGCGGAAAAGAGCCGTGAGGTACGCCGGGAAGTGTGGTCCAAGCGTTTCATGCAGCCATATTCTTCCGGAGCGGGGGAGGCCAGAGAGGCAGCCAGGACTACAATTCCCAGCAGCCCTTTCGGTTTGTTTTTGTTCAAAAAAAAAAAAAACCCACACTCCCCCTCCTCACTCTTCACACACACTCACACACACACACACACACCCACGGCAGACACGCACACACCCGGGCGCCGAGGGGAAAGCTGCGTCTTGTCTTCCTGCCCCACCGCCAGTCCTCTCTCTGCCCCTCAGCAGAGCGGGAAAGCGGAGGCTGGAGCCGTGACCTCTGACCCCATGGTTATGCGGAGCCGCCGCATTCCTTAGCGATCGCGGGGCTGCCGCCGCTGCTGCCGCTGCCGCCGCCGCCGCCGCCGCCGTGGGCGACTGACGCAACGCGGGCGCGTGGAGCCGCCGCCACCCCTCCCCCCACCGCCGCCCTCGCTCCGGGTCTCGCGCCAGCCGGTGCCCGGGCGCCCGCCCCCTCTCCCCGGCCGCACCCGAGTCCTTGCGCGCCGCCGCCGCCACGCGCCCCCCGCCGCCGCCGCCGCCGCCGCCGCC